GAGTATAATAAGTATAATAAACCTGATAGCATTACAGAAACCAAGGATGATAATGATATTAGCCATCTTACTGAGGTTGAAGAGAAATTTAATAATTCTGTCAACACAAAAGAAATCTGTCGTGCTTATGTTTATTTTTGCTCAAATTTTGGTGGTTTTTCTGTTAATAAAGGTAATTAAAAACTATATTATTTATGAATTTATAAAATGAAAGCAATTTTTTTTAAAAAATCAATGCCTTCGTTTCTTTATAGTTCTTGACTTACCACCAACTTTTCAATCCTTGGAATTCTTGCATTTTACTTGTATTAATAAGTTACAGACTCACTTGATATCACTTGATTTATTAGATGGATGTTTTAACTCCATAATAGTCAAAATAGCTCTGGAGAAACGAATTCAAATATGTGGATTTAATAATTGGATGGAATTTCGCGTTGAACCAAAAACAAAATTAAATGGTCTTATTGATGCATATAAATTAATGTTTGAGAAATTTCCAGTTGATGGCTGCGTCAAACCTGAGCAAAATCGTCCTCTTAATTTGAGAATAGTTCTCGATATTGAGAATCGGGATAAAACCGATCAATATCAAGAAAAGTTTGAGGAATACATTTCTGAATCCTTTGAAGATTTGAAGAGTGCCACAAAAAAGCCCACAACAGTTCTAAAAAAAATTTCTACATTAGTTATTACCTTCGAGGAACTTGATATTAAAAGTGTAAAATTTCAAAAGAAGTATTCATCAGAATATCAATTAGGAGATTGGATTATTCAACTATGTTGTTTAATTCCTATACAAATTGCTGTAGCAAGAAATAACTTGTTTCTACCTCTCAAGGATGGATTGTTTTCAAATTTTGAATTTGATGGTTATGGTCATGTAAATAATATTGCAGAAAACATTTCCTTTGGGTGGTATGAAGGAATATTCAAACATTTCAGTGACAAACAAGTAAAAGTTGTTTCTAGTATGGGTGAACAATCATGCGGAAAATCGTTCATGCTAAATCATCTTGTTGGAACTTCCTTTGATGGCTCTGCAATGGTAAATTATATATGAAAATTTCTATTAATTAATTTATTATTAAATCAAATGTTCCATTTAGCGTTGTACTGAGGGAGTTTGGATGTCGCTAGGTAAATGAATTAATACTTTAATTTTCATTAATTTTCTTTATACTGTATAAAAAGTCCTATAAATTAAAAAAAAATTAAAAATTAAAATAGTAAATTCCAAAGAATTTCTTTATGTCGCACTTGATTTTGAAGGTTTAAATTCTCTTGAGAGAAGCGCTCAAGAAGGTGAGTTTGCAATGTATGTAACTCATCCTTCCATTTTAAAATTAATATTAATAATTCTTGTTTTGTTTTAGACCTATTTTTAACACTTTTTAATACTATAATATCAAATCTCATACTCTTTAAGGTAAATATCGCATAATTGTCATAATTGTTTATTCGTTCATTGCAAATTTTTCTCATGTACACTTTAAATTTAAAACAGAATCAATTTACAGTTAATAGAGATATTTCTTCAATGTTTCAAAGATTTCAGGACGGTGCAATGTTATTTGAATCCGATCCAAAATTATTTCAGGTACAAGTATAATTCTTTTATTTCCAATGTTATATTGTTATATATTGGTTTAATTTTGTTAATTTTTTAATGATTTAGGCAAAACTTTGTGTTATCATAAAAGATGTGCCTAAAGCCGATATAGAAGACATTATTCAAGAATTTAAGTTAAAGTTTTCTCAATTAGTTTCAGAGGTATATTATTAAAATTTTTTTTTTTTTGTTGTAGTTTATATTTTTTAAAAAAAAAATTTTTTTTAAATGTATTAAGGAAGTTGGAGATAATTTTATTTCAAGAATGTGTCGAGGTGGATTGGACATTATCACTTGGCCAATGTTTAATGATAATGCATGGTTTAAAGCATTATCAATATTGAAAAAAAAGCTATATAAACTGGAAACAAAATATGACAATGCAAGAACTTTCCTGCAAAATACAAAAGTACTTATGGCTAAATTAAAGGTTCGTATACTATTGTATAAGTAATAAGTATCTATTAAGGTAACATTTATTTTGTCCAGTAAGAATCTTATCTATTTTCTTATATTGTAATTTAGATTTGTGATTGGGGATCGTTAAATGAAAACCTCACACAAATCCGTGTTATATCATTAAAAAAGTTGCTAATAACAGTAATCTCTTATGGTTTGGAACAAAATAATTCTCCAATTGAACAACTTATGGTAATTAATGATTTAAACACGTCAATTTTTATAAAATTTATAAAATTTATTAATTTATTAATTTATTAATTTCATTAGAATCACGATACTGCAACACCTATTGATGATCCAATAGCCAAATTATCTGATATTTTACGAGACTTCAAATATTCCGATCGAATATTACCGGATTCTGGTCTCCAATTGTATGGAGAATACGAATCTTTTGCCAAACTTTCTGAATATTTAAGAGCTTACTTTGAAGAAATTGTAAAGCTGCGGAAAGACTCGTCTAATGATGCCAAATGGTTCTCCGACTTAAATAGATTTATTAAGTATATTATAAATCGTCGAGTTTTACGTGTTCAAGATTGGTATTTGCAGAATACAGCAAAGTTTTCTCAAGAAAATAAAACAAACAGTGACATCGTTTACGGTAAATATGCAATGGAGCAAGAAATAAGCAAACTAATGTCTTTATGGACATTGTGTGGATTAACATGTCATCATTGTGGTTTAAAATGTGTTAAAAATCGTGACCACGAAGAAAATCATGATTGTTTAACGGATCACGAGTGTAAATTTCTTTGCCACTTCACAGTAATTCACAACAGAAAATCAGTTCCAACATGTGGTTATAAAGCTGGACATGAAGGTAAACATGTTTGCAAAGAAGTGAATCATTTGTGTGGTGAATCATGTAGTCTTATCGATAAGCGTAGCTGTCAACAAATTTGCTCCAAAGAAATCGGGCATGTTGATGAGCATCTTTGTCCATCTTCACGTCATTATTGTGGAGAAGATTGTTCATTATCAACAAAAACTCAGAAAGGATATTACCATTGTCTTAATAAATGCATTATTCCATATGAAGAACAACATTGTTTGCACCGCTGTGAAAATGAGACGTGTCCAATTCAATGTCCAATTTTAGATTGTCAGAGAAAATGTCAAAGCAATAAACATTTTCACTGTAATACACACATGCAAGTTGATCATTTTTGTGGGTAAATATCAGTTTAATAATTTTATTTGCATTCTTGAAGATACTGTATGTATTCATTAAAATATTTATGATTTCAAGAAATGAACATCAATGTCGTGAATTATGCGAAGAGGCTGGTATATGCAAAGTAATAATTGAACCAAAGAAGCAAGAGCATGAGGAGGTTTATAAAGGAAAAGTTGAAGGAACTTCTATTACATCTACTAAGGTATAGAATAATGTGATAATATTTTAAGGTTGCTATTAAAATCACGTTACAGATCATATGTTTTACTTAACTTTTGGTGTTAATTTATTGTCATAATAGTATATTCAATCAAGTGAAAGGTTGAGGTGTAACAAAAGAATTCCTCCAAATGAATTTAAGCATGCTGGAAAGCATACGCATAATGCAAGAGATGACCTTACACAAGATGGTTTTCATTTTTGTGATGTAAAATGTCAATTCTGTGAATATTTTGTATGTATCGTAAAAAATATGCTTCTGTATTCTTTGTTTATAATAATATACTTATAGCAATATTTTAAATTAGTGTACATTACCTTATGAGCACACACAAGTTCATAGCACGACGCATGGAAATATGATACATAGTGAGTTCACTGGATATGCAGGGTTAGTATAGATATGATAGTTTTAATAATAATGATAATTAATTATCTTTTTAAAACATTTTAAATTAGAAATAAATTAAGAATCGGTGATCAAGGAACTTTTGTTCTTTGTAATCTGGTATGTAATTTCATAATATTTTTAGTTATATTATTTGCGACTTTAATTTTAAGAAATTCTTGTATTAGTTTTGCAAAAATTTAGGAAGACATTATCATATTGATTATTGTCAGAGTCAAGATATTTGTCAAGGACAAGATATACAGCATATTAATGGTATTTAAACTTTTTGTTTTCAAATGTAAAAGCATTTGTGATTAACTATTTGATAAATTGTAGAACAAATACAACCTAATCCTAGCATACCAAAAGATTTCATTTCTCACAAATTGTTCTGGGAAAGAGCAGGTTTCAAAGGTACGCAAATATAACTATTTTCATATACTTTTTGCACAGATATATATTTATTTTAAAATTTTAGATCCATATTCTGCTCAAGAACAACAAGAGTTTGCGAAATGTGATCAGATGTAAATCATCATAGATCGAGGCTCACTAAATCATTTTGTGAATTATCACTTTTTCATTCTAACTTGGTCCAAAATCAAATCATCCTAATGATTATCGTTGGATTTTAAATGTGATCTGTGCTGCGGTTAAAGTTGATCACGTGTTATTAGACAAATCTGTCAAATATGTCAGATAACGTATATTATATTTATCTTATTTGTTATATTTAGCATATATATTATATTATACATATTTATCTTATTATCTTATTATTAGTTTTTTTTATATAAATAGCATGTATTTTTTTTGAGTTAGAAGATAACTCGAGATGAATAAACCAAGAGTTCAATAAAGATATTTACAGTATTACTATAACCTTTTTGCCGTATCTTCATACAGGCGTGATTGTGATAAGTAATAGTTACTCGGCACGAAACTGTGGTATTTGCAATAAACAATATGATTGGTGAAATTTTGCTGAGCTCCGCTCAGCAAATTTCACCAATCATATTTTTATTGCAAATACCTGTAAG